TGTCCGGTCTCGGGATGCCCTCAAGCAGATGCGCCTCGCAGCCGTCCTCAAAGGCCGCTGGAGGCCAGATTCACGGCCCGGCAACCACTGAGGACTTCCTAGTCAGGGGCAACAACAGGGGGGGATAGGCGCAGGGGGGGGTGAGAGTATCGACCTTCGACCTCTGACCGCGCATTGATCGCCGACAGGGGCCCCGCCAGCCCGCCCCGCCCAGGTGCGTGTCGATCTGCCGTCAGGGGCCTTTCGCCGATCTACCGGCTTCGTATTGCCGAAAGGTCCTGGCGCGGAACTGAGCTGGTAGACAAGCTTTTGGGACACCAGACTCCCCAGGGGCCAGTTGAGTGGTCTGTTTTGAGCTCCAAATGGCAACTTGTTAAAGGCCATCGAGATGAGCATGTGTTAGCCAACTTGGATCACCAGCAGTAATATATTCTAGACGCTTCGCGTATCCCCACCAGCCCGTCCAGAAATGAGTCCCAGGGGAGTGGAGGTTATGAGGGAAGCGGGGGAGCATGCAGAAAAACAAAGGGCGGGGTGAGCCGCCATATACCCCAAGAGGGGGAGGATGTAGGAGGAGCCGTCGTCGTAGGAGTAGGAGGAGGAAGAGGAGGAGTAGGAGGAGGAGCACGAGGAGGAGCAAGCGGAGGAGGAGGAGGAGGATAAGGAGGAGGAGATGGAGGACTGCGAGGACGAGGAGGACGAGAAGGAGGAAAAGGAAAAGGAGGAGGAGGAGGAGGAGGAGGAGGGGGAGGGGGAGGAGGGAGGAGGAAGAAAAAGAGGAGGAGGAGGAGGACAATGGCGAGCTTGGGGGCCTCTTGGGCCGTCTTTGGGGCCTCTTGGCGGTCCCGGGGGCCTCTTGCGTATCTCGGGGAGCCTCTTGTGGCCTCTTGGGGGTCTCTTGGGGGCCTCTTGGAGGCCTCTTGGGGGCCTCTTGGGGCCTCTTGGGGCCCTCTTGGGGCGCTCTTGGGGCGCTCTTGGGAGCCTTCGAGGCGCTCTTGGGGCCATCTTAGAGGAGATCTATCAAAGAAGGGGGGGTCCCCAATTAGCGCTGCCCCTCTAAAGTGCCTCGAATCGCTTCTTGGGCCCCCCAAGAGGCCAAAATCTTTCCAAAACCTAAGGAAAATCAATGTTTTGTGTTTTCTCGCCTTTTCGCTCTTGGAGCCGTCTTGGGCCGTCTTGGGAGCCTCTTGGGCCTCTTGGGGGTCTCTTGGGAGCCTTGTGGAGGCCTCTTGGGCGCCTCTTGGGGCGCTCTTGGGGCGCTCTTGGGGCGCTCTTGGGAGCCTTCGGGGCGCTCTTGGGGCCATCTTGGAGGAGATCGATCAAAGAAGAGGGGGTCCCCAATTAGCGTTGCCCCTCTAGAGTGCCTCGAGTCGCCTCTTGGGCCCCCCAAGAGGCCAAAATCGTTCCAAAACCTATGTAAAATCAATGTTTTTTGCTTTCTCGCCTTTTCGCTCTTGGAGCCGTCTTGGGCCATCTTGGGAGGCTCTTGGGGCCTCTTGGGGGTCTCTTGGCAGCCTCTTGGAGGCTTCTTGGGGGCCTCTTGGGGCCTCGTGGGGCCGTCTTGGGGCGCTCTTGGGGCGCTCTTGGGAGCCTTCGGGGCGCTCTTGGGGCCATCTTGGAGGAGATCTATCAAAAAAGGGGGGGTCGTATATTAGCGTTGCCCCTCTAGAGTGCCTCGAGTCGCCTCTTGGGCCCCCCCGAGAGGCCAAAATCCTTCCAAAACCTAGGTAAAATCAATGTTTTGTGTGTTTCTCGCCTTTTCGCTCTTGGAGATGTCTTGGGCCATCTTGGCCGTCCCAACGACCCGCGGAACGCCCCGTCCAGGTCAGTGGGGAGGGGTAAGGGGAGGGGTAAACCCCTCCCCGAAGGGGAAGAAGGGGGTTGGCAGAGGAAACTCCCTAAACCACCTACGCCCTAAAGGGCTGGTGGGATTATTGCAATGGCTGTGTAAGATATGTGGAGCAAGCTATGTGGTGTAAGCTATGTGGTACAGTCTACGTGGTACTAGCTAGAAGCGGTAACGAAGCGGCAACTGGTGGCAACCTGGCGAAACCTCGCCGGACTCACCCAGCGCACGAGGCGGCAACGAGACGGCAACGGGCGGCAACGTGGCGAAACCTCGCCGGACCCACGCACGAGGCGGCAATAGGCGGCAACGTGGCGAAACCTTGCCAGACACTCCCAGCGCACGAGGCGGCAACGAGGCAGTAACGGGCGGCAGCGTGGCGAAATTTCGCCAGACTCCCAGCGCACGAGGCGGCACCGAGGCGGTAACCGGCGGCAGCGTGGCGAAGCCTCGCCTGACACACCCAGGTCACGAGGCGGCAAAGGCGGCAACAGGTGGCAACGTGGCGAAACCTCGCGGGACCCACCCAGCGCACGAGGCGCCAACGAGGAGGCAACGTGGCAACGTGGCGAAACCTTGCCAGACCCACCTAATTCCTTAGTAACTGAAGTAAGGACTCCAAAGTGCAAGCACTGTTTGGGGAATAGGTGTACTTTCAGGTCCGTCGCACGTTGGACCTCGCATCTTCTGCCACCTTCCAATACACTCGCTCCGATACAGTCCTCCGTGTGTTCAGAAACCCCAGGAGCGGATTCGTCTCGGCGACGAAGGTCCCGTGCTAGCTGTGTGGAGAGGGGATTGGTAGAGCGACGATCGGAGGTGGGGGGCGAGTAGGGTGGAGGAGGAACCTCACATTATTTGAAAAGGTCATTCTGCGAGCGCCAGACGCATGGCGCGTGCTACTCGCGGCAGCGGCTGCGCCGCGGGTAGCCTCGGCAGGCGGGCTGTGCTGGCGGCCGCATCCGCTGGCACAGATCCCGCGCTCCCAGCTTTTGCTCCAAGCTTGGCGGCACGCCTAGGGGGGATGGCAGAGGGGGCGGGCCCTTTCTCGAGGAAGAAAGATCCGCGCGGATTTCTTGGATCTGCGCTGGGTCCCCCCTAGCGGCGTCTCTGGCGCCTCCCCTGGCGCGCTCCGCGCGCCAGGGAGGGGGTTCAGCCCAGATCCAATACATCCGCGCGGACTGTCGAAAGTTTATGTTCTGCCGTTCTTTGTTCCCTCTAATTATTCTCAGAAGGACCAACTGTCTAGGTCTCCCCCGAAGCCACCGAGGGCGTCTCAGAAGGCAGGAGAAACTCTGAGAAGCCCAGCCCTCTTCCGAGAGGACCCGCCCCCTGTCCCCTTTCCCCCCCTCGGCGCGCCGCCGAGAAACCTGGCCTGCCTACCAGTTTCGCTGGACCATCGACACCCTGACGCATCCCGCTGGCGTCTCAAGTTGGCAAGTTGAACATAGTTCGGGCGGGGCCGGGACACGTCTAAATAGTTCCAGAACGGCGCGGCGCCCGATGCATCCGCCAGGACCGTCGGATCTCAGAGGTCCCCGATCTACCCTGGTCCGATTCTGTCCCCGTTCCCGCCTCGCCCCAAATAGTCTTCACCGAGCGCGCTCAGCCGCTCGCGAAGCGTCTGCTCGCAGATGCCCGAAAGGCGCATGCTTGCCTCGGTGCCACGGATCCCCTGGGGCGCATCCAGGCCATCTGCGAGCAGTGACTCCCAGAGTGGCGGAGCGCGCCCTGTCTGCGGCAGCAGCTCAGGGCCCTCGCACGGCGCGCGCCGCGAGCGGAGCGGAGCGGGGCCGCCGCCGCCAGGTGGAGGAGGCCGAGACGTGGGAGGCCTTCGCGCCGTCCGCGGGCACCATGGGCGTGTGCCCCGCCCAGGCGGGCGCTCTCGTCTCGCCAGCCTCCCGAGCTCGGCGGCGCGCCGCCTGCCTCGAGGCTGCTTCTCGAGGTTCGAGGCTGGTCTTCGGGTTCGAGGTCGGCTTTCGAGGCTCGGACGCGAGGCTGGCTTTTGGGCTCGAGGGCGAGGTCGAGGTTCGAGGCTGGTCTTCGGGTTCGAGGTCGGCTTTCGAGGCTCGGACGCGAGGCTGGCTTTTGGGCTCGAGGGCGAGGTCGAGGTCGAGGCTGGTTTTGGGGGTTCGAAGTTGGCTGTCCGACGTTTCTGCTGCTTTGCGGGGGTTCTCTCCGGCCTCGGCAGGCGCTCCAGCAGCCAGCGCCCTGCCGCGAGCGCCCGGGGAGTGCCCAGAGACTCGCTCCCGAGCGGCAGCCGGAGGCCCGCCCAGCTGGCGATCGCCACGGAGGGGACGGGTCCCTAGGGAAGCGCGCCCGGAGGGTTGGCGCTGGCCGGGGGCCCGAGGCGGCCCCGCATGTCGGCCCGCTCCCAGCCGACTGGGCCCAATCCTCCGTAGCAATTCTGACTCAAGCAAGTTGGGCTCCGGGCCCCCCATTTGATCGGGCTCGAGGCCTCGTTTTGATCTTTCAAATCTTCCCCTTGAAATCGGGAGATACATATCGGGCGATACAGCTCCATTCAACACCTAGAGGCGATGGCGCGTCTCGTGCAGGCCTTCGTCTTTGTCGCCAGCTGCGGCGCGCTCTCCTTCGAGCGCCGCGACCCTGACTACATTGACCCGGAGGACATCAGGCAGTTCAGCCAGTCCAGCAGTTCCATTACGAGCCGCATCAACGGCGGATCGATCAAGGCCGACAGCGGGGCAGGGAGGCAGTTCGGCAGGGACGCGGCCATCGCCGAGCAGGCCGCGGCGAGGGCCAGGGACGAGGCCGCGAGGCTCATACGGGAGGACGCCGATAAGGACATCACGGAGCGCCAGTTCGAAGCCATGAGCAGGCATGCCGAGTCGCTGACAAAGAGGGAGGAGCGAGAGGAGATGATGCTGGAGAATGTGGTCGACTCCATGGAGAAGGAGGGCGACTCGGAGGACCGCGCCGTGGAGGAGATCGAGAGGGTCGGCGAGAAGCTGGAGAGCAAGGAGGTGCAGTGGGAGAGAGGCAGGAAGATCGAGGAGCTGCGTGGCGCGGACGGGCAGTGGTTCGAGGACCCGGCCTTCAAGAGCGAGGAGCTGCGCGAGCGCAGCCAGGACGCCGACTTCGCCCGCGAGGAGAGCCAGGCGACCCGCCTGCTGGTGCAGGCGCGCAAGCA